AAATATGCACACTTTATCACCTTACAACATCCCTATTTAGCTTACATGGATGATGTATTTAAGTTACATGGATTACTTCAAGTACTTGTGTTTGACAAGGATCCCATTTTTCTTAGTAGTTTTTGGTAGGAGTTATTCAAACTCCACAGGGTTGAATTGCAATGTTCTTCTACCTACTGTCCCCAAATTGATGGGCAAATAAAAGGGGTGAATAGGTGTCTTGAAACCTATTGGAGGTGCATGACTAATGATCATCCTATAGAGGGAAGCAAGTGGTTATCTCTTGCTGAATGGTAGTATAACATTACTTTTCATACCATTATCCAAATTTCTCCATTTGAGGCTTTGTATGGATTTCAACCACCATTGCATATGGCTTATGTACTTGGAGACACAGATGTTGTAGTTGTTGATTAAAGCTTGCAAGCTCGAGAAGCTATGATAAGGGTACTAAAATTTCACGTTACTCAGACAGAACAAAGAATGGTATAACAAGCTAACAAGCATAGACAATAACGACAGTTTGTTATTAGAGATTGGGTGTATCTAAAATTTCAACCATATAGGCAAGAGTTTATGCAATCCAGGACATCTTACAAACTTACTGCTAAATATTTTGGTCCATTTTAGGTGATTAAGAAAGTGGACAAGGTAGCATGAAAATTAGCCTTACCTGATTCTTCTTAGATACATCTAGTATTTCAAGTGTCACAGTTAAAGAAAAAGGTTGGAGCAAGGATTCAAGTGACTACTCAATGTCCTATTGATTTGCTTTTACTAGTGATGCCCAAGGTTGTAGCTATCTTGGGAAGAAAAATGGTGAAGAGGGGGAATTGGGCTGCCATTAAGGTGTTAGTCTAATGGTCTCATGCTTATCCTGAAGATGCTACTTGGGAGTATCTTTACAATATTCAACAATAGTTTCCAAACTTCTGTCCTTAAGGACAAGGATGCTTTTGAGGGGAAGGAATTGATGTGCAGAAAAAAACTAAGGGGGTTTAAAGTCTTAGAAGTTACACGTGTTTATTTGACCTTTTAGTTATTGTTGGTTTATGTCAGTTTAGTAACAGGTGGCATATGCTACCTTAAAAGTGTCTATATCTCTCTATTTGGGTGTTAGTTGTTTGGCATTCTTCAATCTTCCTAAAATTCTCTATAATTCTCATGTATTCCAGACCATTGCAAAGGATATATATCGAAGATCCTTTCTCTTTTGTGGATTTTACTTATATTCCTTTAAATTCTGTTTACCTGTTACACTTTTAAGGTAGCATATGCTACATGTTACTAAACTAATATAAACCAACAATAACTAAAAAGTCAAATAAACACACATGATGTCTAAGACTTTTAACCCTTAGTTTTTTTTTTTTTTTCACTACAAGAAAATCCACATTTAGTGACTAAATTATTGATCATTAAATCTTTATTTTTCGTCACAAATTATTATTAGTGATAAAATTTAAATCGTTAGTAAAACTCTTGTCACTAATGCTCTTAATGACAAATTAAACACCTGTCACAAAAAATAATTTTATAGTGATAAAAAAAATTGACATTGTTAACAAGTTATTTATAATAATTTTATTCGTCACAAAAAAATATTCGTCACAAATGCAATTATGATGCAAAATTTAGTTATTAATTATTAAAATTGATATTAAATAACAACGATATTTATATAATTACAACAAAAATATTTGAACAAAAATTTTGTCAAAAAAAATAATATATAAATTTACCACAAAAGTTTAATAAAAAATATTATTATTTCAATACTAATCAAACTTGATTAAAATTAATCAAGCTCCATTAAAATTAATCAAGCCCAATTAAAATTAATCAGGTCCAAATTAATCTCAAGTTTTATTGAGTTTCACTTGTTTTATAATGCAAAAATTTATTTTCTTAAATATTTTTTGTCGATGTGGGATATATTTATAGTGTAAAACCTTATTCTTTTATGTGTTTTTTATTGATGTGGGATGCATTGATTAGAGAAAATTGACAGTTTTTAGTGACGAAATATATTTTTTAGTGCTAAATTATTTGGTCATCATTGAATGTGTAAGGTATAGGTGACCAATATTAGAATTTTGTCATAATTGTAATGCATTATAGTGATGATTTTTATCGACAAAAGCTTATTTTATCTCTATGAATATTTTTCGGTACCGAAATATATTTTTTATGATGAATTTTTTTGTTCATCATTAAATATGTATGCATTTGTGACTAATTTTTTAGATATGTCATAATTGTAATAAGTTATAGTGATGATTTCAAAATTCATCATAAATTTCTGTCACTAAAAATCAATTTTCTTGTAGTGTTTGCATATCACTTCATTAGAGTGGCATCAACTAAGGCGACAACTAGTGAGATGAAGAGAAATGAGAGGCAATCGGTTGATTGTGATGGAAGTGATGGAGATAAGGGTTTGAGAGCGGTTTTATTTTAATGGCTCGTTTGATATAACAGTTTGGGGTAGTGATTACTGGTTTTGTTTAAACCGCTAAAAATAAGTGTTTAATAAATTTATTTATTTTGATACCGCTACAAACTAAGCATATAATAAATCTTTTTAGTTGGTGGTTTGGGATTAACGGATAGCGGTTAGGGTTCCAACAGCTATCAAATTGAAAAACTTACCTAAGGTAACTTTTTGTATTAAATCACTAATGGATTAGAATTTTTTAATTTTATTGATAAATTTATTCATTTTAATTTTTTAATTTTTAACCATAATTTTTAATTAATACTTGTTAAATTAGTTTTAAATTTATTTTTTGTCTTTAATAATATGAAGTGATTATTATATTTTTATTTTTACATTATCTTATTATAAAAAAATATATTAACTTAATTAACAAAAGGCAAAACCATATGTTGAGCCCTTGAACTAACCCTAGATTTGTTATTAAGCCCCTAAACTTTAATTGATGCATATAAACTCCCCAATTTGAGTAGTTTAGCCCATATTCTTACAGCAATTTACTTTATTCTTACCGTAGTTAAAGAATTGACTAAATTGCTCAAATTGTAGAGTTTAGGGACTTATATGCATCAATTAAAGTTTGGGAGCTCAATAGAAAAATTTGGGGTTAGTTTAGAGGCTTAACATATGGTTTTGCCTAAAGAAAATTTGCTAATTAGACAAAAAGATTAATTTTTTTTGTTCTTTATTTAAAAATAATATAATTTTTTCTTTATTAAAAATAAAAATTATTCTTTGACTGCATTATTATAATTTATTTTTTATTATTTTTAGAAAATTAATAATTTTAATAACAAAAAAAATATAAAGAAAAAATATATTTAATTAGTTTTAAACATGTCATTATTAGTCGTTTAATTTTACACAACAACCAATAACTATTGTATAATAAAACAGTTATATTAATTGAATTTGTTATTTATAATCTATTACCCGCTTTTCGCTATTCATTACCGACTATCCACTATCCACTCGTTATCTACTGAATTTTAATAATTATACAAAAGAGACCCTAAGTCTAAAAAAATTAAATCTCATCCCTCCGTACAAACATTGAGGAGGTGGGACAACTTTTTAGTCTTTAGGTTAGGATATCCCATCCATTAAATTAAATCTCAATTTTGTTTAGTCTATCTCTAGAAATTAAAATTTCAATAGAATTTTCTGAGAAGACTTGTCTGTTTGGGTTGAGTTGAGGAAATTATATCATTTCATTCCCTTTTATATCCTTCCTCTCTCTTTGTTTGGATAAATAAATAATTTAATAAAAAAAATAAAGTAGTTTATTCCTCTCGCTTCTCTTCCAATTTTTTTGATAATCAAATGAAAGAAAATTTTCTCTTCCCCTTCTCTCCTCTTCATTTTATTTCGCTCAACTTAATCACGGTGTAAATCATAACCTCACTAGTTAAGAGATTAAACTTTCTTAATTAAAGATATTGAATTTTTAACCTTAAAATAGATTTAAAAAATTTAAAGAAGTAAGGGAGCTATCCTGATTCCTGAGTCAGATTTCTGCATCACAGACTTGCATTGTTTGTCAATGGTTAAGTGACAAGTTTGAAAACAGAGGCCTAGATGGGATGAGACCTAATCTCCATTATGCAACCTCCACATTGCATTCAAGTCCACCGTGGGGTATGGGATTACTCTTGGTCTCATATGGAAAATTCTTTCGGGTTTCTCATGCCAGATGTTAGGGGTGGGCATTTGTTTTCGTTTGTTTTAACAGGTTTTGTTTAAGAATACTTTTTAATATTTTAGTTTTTAATTTTTATATTATTATATTATTTTAAAAATATATAAAATATAATTAAAATAAATATTAAATATATTATATATTTTTTAATATTAAATAATAAAAAATTTTGTAATTATAATTACATAGCAACGTTATCAAACTAAATTTAGAAATTTGAACAAAATTCAGTTGGGACTAATATATCAAACCCGGATCAAACTTTTAATTTGTTTACAAATTTGGTTATCTAAATTATTTTGCATAATTTAATTACTAACTAAATTAACCAAAATTTTTAAAGTTGTTTATTTCTCGCTAAATTAATAATATATATATTAATTTAATTATTTTTACTTAATAAAAAAAAGATTGTGAAAAATCATTATGCCTTGGTAATTAAAGTACTAAAAATGGTAATAAAAAGATTTAAATATTTTTAATAAATCAACACACAAAAATATATATTAAAGCTATTTTAAATAATTTTATAGATAATTCTGACATTTTAAAAGTTAAAATGTCTTAATTTTTACTTTTTTTAAAAAAATATTTCAAATAATTTCAAATAAAAAAGTAAATTTTTTTGATAATTTTAAAAATAGATTAATAACTATATTCAAACCAAATTTATTTTTGGTTCGCTTTAGTTTTATCTAAAATAAATTATATGAACCAAAATTCGAAAATTCTTATAAAAAAATTTAGATATTTAAATAATAACCGAAATGTGTCAGCCCTACAGTAATATACTAGAAGCCTAGGGGACATTAATAATATAGCCTTAAATGGTAAATACAGCATATGATCAACTAAAACGAAACTACTACAATAGCATATGACACAAGATCCTTAACGCATTCAAGAACAGAGTGGGAAACCATCTATTCTAACCCCTGATTTTCCCCAATCCTTGGTGTCCGTGTCGACCGGAGTAATAGGGTCCATGAGGCTGTGGAATTGATGCTGAGTAGGCTCCATGGGCCACCCAGTAAGGCGGTGGTACCTCTGCAAAACCCATGTGGAATTGATGCTGAGTAGGCTCCGTGGGCCACCCAGTAAGGCGGTGGTACCTCAGCCAGGGATGGTCTGTAAAACCCATGTCTCTGCCAATCTAAGACCGGCACAGGAGAAGGGCAATAAGACTGTTGCGGAGCAGGAGAGTAAAAATCATCCAGGGAAGGATACTTGATGCTCCCTGAGTACTCATCATCATCCTCCAGCCTGGGGTAATGAACTTT